CCTTCTCCAACCATTCCATTTCGCATCGAGCGTACTCGATCCAAAGCGACCCATCCTTTGTGCAAAAGCGGCATCCTCGCATGAAGAAGCTTCTTGCCGATGCCATGTCGCCGTTTTTGGCGGCCCTTCTCCCAGCCATGATCCACAGCTGCACATCATTTGGCAGCATTCGTAGGGCGTCCGTCATGGTCCGCCGATAACGTTTTGCTGCCTTGACATTTGTTGTGTAGGCAAGGTACTCGCGCCACAAAGCAGAACTTGTAGGGTGACGGTTGACGCCTCGATCATAGATGGAGAGTACACGGCCTTGCCCGGCGTGAGCAGAGTTAAGATGGCGGAGCTTCATTCGCTTGCATCGCTTGCCGCGCAAAGACTCAAGCGATTGTTCCCAATTTGCGTAGGATGCCCAATCGGAAGCTCGATTCCCGGGGGAAAGCACTCGGTGCTCATGATCGTTGCGCTTCTTCACAATGGTGCGGATCTCATCCTGGAAGCGTGGTCAGCCGGCGATAACCAGGTTGCTTCATTCACCTCAATTCGGGTCTTTGGCGCACCGCCAGAAAGGATCATGAATGATATGCGTACCTTGGAGAAAAGCTCTTTTTGCTCCCATTCTCGCAGTTGTGGGACGGACCTTTCAAGAAAAAATCTTGCCTTCTCTGCCACGCCCGACATTTTTCTTAGTGTTGTCTCGCCTCGTGTGCGCAAGAGCAAAGGGAATGTTGGGATTGGTCTTGTTGGCGGGAGTGATGCGCAATGGCAGACGAGGCAAGATTTTCTTTATCGCTGGTCTCTCTCTGGAAAATTTTAGTGGAGATGTGATGGAGTAGCTTCCAGTTACTAGCCACAATCCAGGGGTGTTGAGCCACAATTTGGAGCTTTCAGCCACATCTCACCAGTGCTATACGCCATCAACTTCTTTAAATTCTGGCCCCTGTCTGGCCCCTGTTTATGGCTCCACCACGGTCTAGGCGCCCTGTTTTGCGCGAATCATGGCGCGTCAAAGCTCCTGAAGGAACGTGACAGAGCTCCGAGGCTTCCAGCGATTATTTGTCTGTCTGCTCCCTTCGTCACCCCTCCATCCACACTTCTCTCTATAAACAACTGCTCCCTTTCAATGGGATTGCTTCCTGTTGTTGGCGTTGTTGTCTTTCTTTAATTTGCGACTAGTTGTGTTCGTTCTTTCATTGCCGTCGTCATGGCGTCTAAATACAAGGACAAGGATGCCGGCATTGCCCTGTCGTTCAGCGGCGTCTGGGTAAGCTGGGCGCATACCATTCTGGCAGCCAGTACGTCTTACGACCAGGTCTCTGTTCTCTTTTCGCCCGGTTTGCTGACAACCAATACTCTCCAGGCGCATTCATTAGTGCTTTCGTTGTTGGCGTGTCTCTTCATTACCACAAGATTGTCCAGAATGAGTTCTACGGATACCCAGACGAATGGTTCCCTTCGGTTTCCGCGACCATCGGCGATCGATACCCCGAACGATCATTCTTCATGATCTTCATTGCTATCACTTCTGGTATGTTGTACTTGAGGATCTGGTTCCGGCACTTTTCTGACATTGTTTGCGATATTCAGGCCCTCGCTTTGCGCTCGTTGGACTATGGTACCTGTTATCTCGAAAACCCGGCCACAAGCTACCAGTCTTTGTTGCCGCCATGGGTGTCCTTCGCACTCTGACGTGCGGAGGATGGACTTACATCACCTCGACCGATGACCACGACTGGCATGACATTCTCATGATCTCATACATCGTCGCCACTCTCCCTTGGACAACTGGCTGTATTGCCCTTAGCCCGGCGAACCCAATCGCTATCAAGTACCGCAAGTACCTTGCTGGTACTTTCTTTGGCACTCTTGTCCCCCTCATCTACTTCTTTATTCAGCACAAGGTCCACCGCGTTGCTGGTGGTAAGTTTCTCTTCCTCGTACAGCTCAGATATTGTGAATATCGAGATGGCTAACCAGTTCCAACTAGCATACACCACTTATGCATTCTTCGAATGGGCATTGATTGTTCTCGATGTAGCTTTCGATGCCGTAACTGCTCTCGATTTCGGGACTTTTGAGATTTCCATCAAGGACGTCAAGGGGTCCAGCAAGGGGTATGTGCAATGGCTCCCCAGATAGCTCCCTCGTTAGCCGCATTTTGTGACCGAAATAAACTTCTTCTTGATTGGGCCATATTCTAAGCGTGTAGCAGTGACAACAGTTCCTCGGTCTCCTCCGCCGTACTGGAAAAGGAGTAAGTTAAGTACCCTAATCGCGCATTTACTGGCGTTAACTGGCTTTCCAGGAAGGAGAAATACGGCACAGGGATTTACTCTGGTCGATTTACCTGGGCGGAGGTGTTTGACACTGCTGCGGATATCTACCATGGGGTAAGGGTGGCCCCTGCAGCCCTATGAGTAGGCAGTGCTGACGGTGTTGCAGTTTGTGTTTTGGACTACTTTGACCAGTCTCGGCCTTGTTGTTTGGTGTAAGGCTGATGAAAATGCCCCAAAATATTATATATGTTCACGCGCTAACATGAGAAGTCTTCCCTCTTTGGTACATGGGTATTTCAGGGTTTGAGGCATTCGTTTTGTCCACCATCTCCCCCCTGTTCTTCGGCATTGGACCCCTGCGATCGGTCTTTACTCAGAATCAGCGCGTTCTTCACCTTCTCTCCCTGGCCGGCATTGCCTCTTATCTGGTTACCGATCCGACGATGCGGCTTTGTACCTTGGGTTTCGGTGTGGCAATGTCTTGTTTGGCTTGGGTCGCAACGTTTGCTGCAGAATCTGCTCATGACGTTCGCTTCGAGTCTAAGATCCTGGGTCTTATCGTTGGCCTCATCTTGTCTTCCACTGCCAAATTTCTTTGGCAGACAAACAACCCTATTTGGCCCATCATGCACGCCGAGAACGGGGGATGGAACGGCACCGGTCTTATTCTAGCCGTCCTCGCAGTGCTTCGTTTCACCCGAAAGGCACCTATAACGGGTGGTTATGTATCCGACAGTAACCAGCAAAAGGGTTCCGCATGGCTCGCTGCTTGTGGCATTGGTGGTCTTTTCTTCGGCCTCCATTCTCTTCTCTCTGATACTAGCACCATGATCCTGTGGGTGTGGGAGGGGTTCCCTATCCGTGGCCCGTACTTTTCCACACACGGTTGGTTCACCCTCGCCGCCATGTCGGCTGGAATTTTTGCCGGGCTTCTGCGACCCAGTGAGGCAGGTGGTTGGGTGCATTATCTCATTGGTACTGCGGGAGCTATGACCCTGACTTTCTTTAGCCATTGGGTTGGCTACTATGGCGCTGTGGCTTTGACTATCTATCTTACCTCCGTCAGTGTGCCCTTGATCCAGGTTGCGACCAAGAAAAGCCCGGCTATCAGCTTTGGTATCGGCTTTCTCATTTACAACATCATGGTTCTGTTCCATGTGTGGGTTGTTGCTTATGCCTTTGTTCCCGGTGGACCTCTGGTCCGTGAGCACACTGACTGGGTCATGATAACTATGATGGTTCTGCTTGGTGTTGGTGTATACAACTTCAACAACTCTCAGCCCCGCCGCCAACAGTCCAAGCGTCCATCTGCCTCTCAGCATAAGAAGTACTTTGGCGTTGGCACTCTCTTCATCAATATCGTGTTTCTTTGTGGCGCGTTCATGCGTTTCCCCACGAACGACTATAAACCTTACCACCCCGAGGACCGAGTCCTTACTGCTGGTATCTGGACCATTCACTTCTCCGTTGATAATGACATGTGGTCTTCCGAGTACCGCATGCGTGATCTAATTAAAGAGGCCGAACTTGACGTGGTTGGTCTACTTGAGACGGACCAGCAGCGCATCATCATGGGCAACCGAGACAGCTCTCAGTTCCTTGCTGAGGATCTCGGTATGTATGTCGACTATGGTCCGGGCCCTAACAAGCACACATGGGGCGCCGTCCTTCTCTCTAAGTTCCCCATCGTCGAGTCTAAACATCACCTCTTGCCCAGCCCGGTAGGCGAACTTGCCCCGGCCATCCACGCGACCCTTGATGTCTACGGCCAACTGGTCGACGTTTTCGTTTTCCACTCTGGCCAAGAGGAGGACCCTGAGGATCGTCGCCTTCAGTCCCTCTACCTGGCCGACCTCATGGGTTCATCCCCGCGTCCTTCTATCCTTCTCAGTTACCTCGTTACCAAGCCTCTCGAGGGCAACTACAACACCTACGTCAGTGAAAAGTCGGGCATGAACGACGTTGACCCCACAGATTGGGACCGCTGGTGCGAGTACATCTTGTTCAAGGGTCTCAAGCGTGTGGGTTACGCCCGCGTGAGCCGCAGCACCATCACCGACACGGAGCTGCAGGTCGCCAAGTTCGTGATTCCACAGAATGACGTCGAGATCGCGCAGCAGAAGAGTCTCAGTGCGGAGGAGAGAAATCGCCGCGTTGAGGAGCGCGAGGTACCCGAGGGATGGAAGTTCCCTGCCAGATTCCGGGGCGAGGGTGTTAGAGGCCACAGATATCACGTCTTTAACGAGCCTAGATACTATAATTAGAGGTCTAGATCATGAATATATGCATCAGACGTTGTAAGAGGCGGACGCGAGATGAGGGTTTGGGAAGGATGAGTTCTATATGTAAATGCCTATTAGGGTTGTGACCTAGTTCATATAGTGGTAATACATGATCTTTTTTTAATCTGAATTTGAACGGATGACTTACTCTCGCATGGTCTTACATGGGGCCAAGGTGGCTGCATGCACGCCTTGCTTTTGATTTGCGGATGTCATCTTCAGCTGGGCTGTCAGCTACCCCGCCGAAATCACCTTTCCGTGGTAGATGCTTGATATCATCTGCCTCATCACAATTTCCTCCCGATTCATCGGTATTCGGATGCCATTTCTCGAAATACCCCAGACAGCTATATTACTCATGATAATTCATCTCTATAAACTCATCAATTTCGGTCGTCGGCAGCTGAGTTGGAATAAGTAACCTACCCAAACAGTCTGACACCCGACGATGGCGAACAAGTACACGATTGGTTGGATATGTGCCGTTGTAACAGAACATGTTGCGGCTCGAGCTCTTTTGGATCAGATTCACGACGGACCAGACACCCAAGCCCCAAATGACAACAATACCTACACCTTGGGAGAGATAGGAATGCATAATGTTGTCATCGCCGTACTGCCAGATGGAGAGTATGGAACATCTTCTGCCGCCAGCGTTGCCAAAGACATGCTGCGCACTTTCACGAACATTAGAATCGCCTTGATGGTAGGCATCGGTGGTGGCGCCCCGAGCGCAGTAAATGACATACGTCTTGGTGACATAGTCGTCAGCTCCCCGAGGAATGGGGTAGGTGGTGTAATCCAATACGACTTTGGGAAGGCGATCCAAGGCCAGGGCTTTTGTCGAACAGGCATCTTGAACCAACCTCCTGCCCTCGTACGAACGGCAGTCACCGCGCTCAGAGCAGAGTATATTAGTGACGGTCACAATCTTCAGGACGTTATTAGCTCAGTCCTCGAGAAGAAACCAAGACTTAGAAAAGCATACGCCCAACCTGACCTAAATTCCGACATACTATATGGTCCTGCATATCTTCATCATGATGGAACATGCTGTACAGTGGATGATGTCAATGATGAATCTAAGGTCATCATACGGCCGCCTAGAGACGAGGACGACGATACGTTGGTAATCCACTACGGGCTTATAGCTTCAGGCAATGCATTGATGAAAGATGCTTCAATCAGAGATAAAGTCGCAGCAGAGACTAGTGTTCTGTGCTTTGAAATGGAAGCAGCAGGGCTGATGAACCAGTGCCCATTTCTTGTTATTCGGGGTATATGCGACTACTCTGACACACATAAGAATAAATCATGGCAGGGTTACGCGGCAATGGCGGCGGCGGCATACGCAAGAGCACTGCTACATCGTATACCCGCCAGCAAGGTAGATTCTGAAAGCAGAATCACAGAGATGGGTTAGACCCCCTGGTGCCTTCTTCAAGCCACGCATTGCTGATCAAGATAGTGCTGGAATCTGTCTCCAGAACCGAAAAAGACATACAGAAACTGACAGCCACTGCCCACCGAAAAGAAGTTGAAGATATCCTTGAATGGTTAACACCAATCAACTATGGGCCACTCCAGAGCGACATCATTAAACTTCGACAACCCGGAACAGGCCAGTGGTTTCTTGATACCGATGAGTACCGGATGTGGGCGAGCGGCAACGGCCGCACATTGTATTGTCCGGGCATTCCAGGAGCAGGAAAGACAATGATTGCCTCCATAGTAGTTGACGATATTCTGCGTATATACCGGAACGATCCTTCCCTGGGCGTTGCCTTCATATTCTGCAATTTTCAGCGCAACGAGCAACAAACAACGGAGATGCTACTGTGTAGTCTCCTCAAACAGCTGGCGGGATTGCTTCCCACCCCTCCCCAGCGGCTGGCTGAGCTTTACCACACCCATCGAAAATTAAGGACAAGGCCCTCAGCGCTAGAGTTATCTGAACTGGTCCGGATCGTACTTGGAGCTTTTTCTCGTACATTTGTCATTGTTGACGCTTTGGATGAATGCCAAAATTCAGATGTCTCTCGAAGTCGATTCCTGAATGCAATCTTTGATATGCAGGCCTCGAAAGGAGTCAATATTTTCTTGACATCTCGTATTATTCCAGATATCGAAAAGGATTTGCGTGAACATAGAGGCGCTTTAAAGCTCGAGATTGTTGCTGAACAAGACGACATGCAAAAATATATACGTGGGCGCATATCAGAACTGCCGCAATTCATAATAAGCGAGCCGACTCTACGAGACGAAGTTATCATGGGGATTTCTTCGTCTGTCAAGGGAATGTACGTTCTGATATACACTTGGTTTCTTCCAACATCGGCTTACCTTGGCTAGGTTTCTTCTCGCAAAACTTCAGCTTGACTCGCTCAAGGAGACGACATCGATCAGAGACGTCCGCTCGCCAATAGAATGTATATCCACGAATGAACTAGGACCTTATAACAGCGCCTACGAGGACGCTCTACAGAGAATCGAAAACCAGTCTCCTCAGATGTCAGATTTGGCAAAGCGAGTCATTTTATGGATCACGCACTCGCTAAGCCAGCTTTCAGAGACTGAGATACGATATGCTCTATCAATTAGACCAGACAGTCTTTCCTTTGACAAAGACGACGTAGTGCAAATCGACTTTGTTTCCATTTGTGCCGGGCTGGTGGTAGTAGATGTGAACAGTAGCGTTATACGCCTTGTTCATTCCACCGCCCATGAGTTTTTCAAACGAATGGCAGCAAACCACTTCAGCCAAGGGCACAACATTCTCGCGAATGCATGTCTTACATACCTCTCATATGAGGAGTTTGAGGATGAATTATCGCCTGACAACGCGAGCTATCAGAGGTGGTTACAGTCAAACCCACTATATAAATACGCCGCCACAGAGTGGGGATCTCATGTTCTACTATCAGAGAACCAGACTCGGAAAGCTCTTAGCTCTACTGAAGAGAGGGCATTGCAGTTCCTTAGAAATCAGAATCTGGTTAAATCTGCTGGCCACACACTCATGATACACGCTTTTTCCATAGGTTCAGATGATCATGCACAGCTGATTAATGCACCTACAAGGCCGAGCGCATTACACATCGCGGCCTATTTCGGGCTTGAGAAGCTGCTATCTGAAATACTTAAAGACTATACAACCCAGGAAATAAACCCCGATGACGAGACAGAAATTTCTCGGATAGCAAACATGGACCAAGCCGCTATCAAGCCAGGTCTGGTTTACAGACCCCGACCTCTGGACGTTACTGATCAACTTGGCCGAACGCCGCTCTTCTGGGCATCCCTGACGCATAAAGAGGGTGTCATGCGGCTTCTTGTCGGACTGGGAGCATCACTGGAAGCTCATGATAAAGGCGGCAATACTTCACTTCATGTTGCAACGGTACAGCAAAGGCATAATACTATAAGGCTTCTTGTCGAATTGGGGGCATCACTGGAAGCTGTTGGTGAGTATGGCAGTACTCCTCTCATTCTTGCAACGATAGGGCAGAGACATGATACTATAAGGCTTCTTGTTGAGCTCGAAGCCTCCCTGGAAGCTCGTGATAAATATGGCTGTACTCCTCTCTTTCTTGCAACGATAGGGCAGAGACATGATACTACAAGGCTTCTTGTTGAGCTCGGGGCCTTAATTGATGCTCCTTATAAGGCCGGCAGCACAGCCCTTCATTTGGCAGCAGTTAATGGTCAAGAAACCCTAGTACAGCTTCTCGTTGAACTCGGTGCTTCAATTGATGCTCCTGATGAGGCCGGCAGGACAGCCCTTCATTTTGCAGTAGCTAATGGTCAAGAAAACCCAGTACAGCTTCTTGTTGAACTGGGTGCTTCAATTGATGCTCCTGATGAGGCCGGCAGGACAGCCCTTCATTTTGCAGCAGTTACAGGTCAAGAAACCCTAGTACAGCTTCTCATTGAACTGGGCGCTTCAATTGATGCTCATGATAAAGACGGAGACACTCCAATTGACTATGCCAAAAGAAAAGGCTATCGTGAAATTGCCCAAAAGCTCGCGTCTCCTGCGTCCTTCTCGTGGGGTACCTAGGTAGGCGTTGCCCATGCTCGTTAGAAACACATCTTCAAGTTTCTACTGCGTCGGTTGAGATAACGTCATGACGTACTAGCTCCGTCTCGGCATTCTCGGTTCGAGTCCTCTTTTTGCTGCAATTGAGCCATATTATTACAATGCAACGAGGCTGATTCGACACCAGAGAATTGGAACGAACCCACTCGATTGCGCCGCCGGTTGGATTTCTGTTCCCGCGCCTGCCCCTGACCATGCAAGATCCATGAACCCCCACGAGAGCATCGGAGAGACGAGATTTTGATGGGATCGGAGAGAGACAAGACTTGGATCGTGGAATGTGATTCGCCCGTTCTCGATTCTCCGTGCGGAGTAAGCGGAGAGAAATGGGGCCTGTTACCCCGGATCTAACCGTATTTACCCCAAAGTCCCGGCCTGTAGTGGATCCTTTTGCTTCTTTGCCGTACGAAACCGATATCTCCAGGTCTAACGGCTCTAGATCGCGGAGTAGAGCAGTGTGAGATTACTGTTGTGGCACGTCACGTTGCTCGTTTAACCTCAGACTGGCTACAAGGGGAAACTTTGAGCTTGGAGTGGTTGACGACTTGGGAAGCACTTAAGGGATGGGAGCGGCTGACATCCCAAATCTGCTTTGTTCCTGTCCCTCCTCTCTTTATCTTATTACACCTTTCTCACCCTTTCCTACCCCCATAAATCACTGGTAATCACATCTAGGCGTCTCTATTGCCTGCTGGCCATCCCCTCGTCTGATCTGTAGTTTATTGAGCCTCATATCTACGCCATCGCTACTTCCAATGGCACTTCACGTCCTGTCCCTGCTGGGAGTCGTGCTTGGTGCGGGAGTTGTCTACGTACGAAAATCCCGAGCTACTTGATCTCCATGTACAAATCTTGAAACTAACACAGAGGGATAGTCTCTTACCCTCGCCATCTACAGAATCTTCTTCCACCCTCTCTCCAAATACCCTGGCCCACTGATTGCCAAACTCACGGATGGATATCAGCTCTACCACGCATACCGGGGAGACCGGCATCTGGAATTCTGGCGCTTACATGAGAAATATGGCCCCATTGTGCGGTTTGGCCCCAATTCCATAACTTTCAAGTCCAATACCGCCCTCAAGGACATCTATGGTTTCAAGTCAAACGTCCGCAAGGCTGAGTTTTACAATGCCTTTGCCCATCCCGTTGCGAACACGCACAACACACGGGACAAGGCGGTGCACTCCCGCAAACGCCGGGTTATGAGCCAGGCATTCAGCGACAGTGCCATGAAGGGCATGGAGAGGTTTATTCTCGCCAACATCAGAGCCTTTTGCGAACAGGTCGGCTCCCTCGGCGATGCGAGTGCCGATAGCAAAGGATGGACCGTCCCCAGGAACATGAGCCACTGGTGCAACTACCTGGCCATGGATATCCTTGGTGACTTGTGCTACGGGAAGGCGTTCCACATGGTCGAGAGTCCTGTTAACCGGTTCGCGCTGGACTTGGTCGAAGCTGCTACTACACGCCATTTGATTGTAAGCCACATATTGATTAATTGAGAGGAGAAAAGCAGAGACTGATGCGGATCATAATAGTGTGGAACGATGCCAATCATCAACACTCTCAAGATTGACAAGTTCCTGTTCCCCCACATTGCTGCTGGGCGTGCCAAGTACATGGCCTACAGCAAGAGTCAACTTACGGAACGAACCAAGATGGGAGAGGATTCGGATCGAAGGGACTTCTTCTATTACCTCCTCAAGGCCCGTGACCCCGAAACCGGCCAAGGCTTCAGCACACCTGAGCTTTGGGCCGAGTCGAACCTTCTGTAAGTCCTCTTAGAGAGCAAACCTTCAAACTCGCTTTTTTTATGATTTTTACTGACCACTACCGCCCCTTAGTATTATCGCAGGATCAGATACAACCTCTACTGCTATGGCCGCTACGCTGTTCTATCTTGTCCGCAACGAGTATGCACTGCGCAAGGTTGTCGAGGAGGTTCGCACCAAGTTTAATGATGTCGAGGAGATTGTCCAGGGCCAGGCTCTTACCTCTTGCACCTACCTCCGAGCCTGCATCGACGAGGCCATGCGTCTCTCCCCCTCCGTCGGTGGGATCGTCCCTCGTGAAGTCCTCCCTGGCGGCATCACCATTGACGGCCACGTCATTCCAGAGGGTGTCGTCGTCGGTGTCCCCCACTACACAATCCATCATAATGCTGACTACTACCCCTCGCCTTTCCGCTTCAACCCGGAGCGCTGGATCGTCGACGCCCATAGTGCCGTGGACGGAGTCAAGACCACCGAGGCTGATGTCCACCGGGCCCAGAGCGCGTTCTGCCCCTTCAGCGTCGGTCCCCGTGGCTGCATTGGCAAGGGCCTCGCGTACCATGAGATGACGACTACCCTGGCGAGAACCATTTACACATTTGACATTAGAAAGGCCGTTGGGGTGAAGGATCCTGGCGAGGGAAGCCCTCGACTAGAGTACGGAAGGCATCGTGAGTCTGAGTATCAGCTTGTCGATATCTTCACTAGTGGTAAGAACGGGCCCATGGTGGAGTTTAGGAAAGCCGAAAAGGCGTAAAGAGAAATAACAACGACGGGTCAGTTGGCTGCAATGGGCACCAGGGAAATTGCCAATTGGTGTGGGAGATATTGATATTAGGGACATAGATTTATGTATTTATGAGACGACACCCGAATTTGAATGCGTACATGATTATCATATCAGTCACAGTTTCACAATGACACAGCTCGGGTCTCAAGAGTCCGTCATAACTCAGTGACAGCCGAACTAATCAAGTGTCCCGTTCCGTAGTGTGATTTTTCGACAGCAGGGTCAATATGAAAACGCGGGGTCGGGGTAACAGGAACCGTGTGATGACCCGACCCCCGTTTCCCCTTGTATGGTGACGCAACGGTTGATCTTCATCTTCCCGTGAAAGTGGATCTTGAGGTTCCGGCTAAGTTCTGATGAAGGCAGATGAAGCTCGCGGATTGTTGCGCTTAATTGAGGGCATGTCATTGGGGTGTCACAAGCTGAGGAGGTTCCATTGACACCTAAAATCTCCTGACTCTATTCTTGGCTCCAGCAAGTTTCAATTCTTCTCATTGGGTAGATGGCCTAGCTGAAGGTGATATCCGCAGCGCAGGAAGGTGGATAGTAATTATGCTCGGCAGAGAGGGGAAAGGATGAGTTTGAGACGAGCACCGATGATTGCCACGAGGAGATGGGTATAAAATGCTGAGATGGTCTACTAGAAGAGTAGAACAGCAGTGATTGAGAGGAAGGACGGATCAAACCTGTCAACAGACAACTCGCTATGTTTCTTCTTAATTCTTCCGCGGCGCTGGCCGCATTGTTTGCTAGCATGGTCAATGCCTTTCCCAACTTACCCTTTGTTGTGGATGGCCCTAACATGGTTGACACGACGGGAGCTACCGTCAAATTCGCTGGAACAAACTGGCCAGGTCACGGAGAAGTTATGATCCCCGAAGGATTGCAGTACCAATCTATCGAGACCATTGTTTCCGACATCAAGAGCCTCGGAATGAACGCCATTCGTCTGACCTATGCCATTGAAATGATTGACCAGATCTATGCCAATGATGGAGAAGACATTGATATCAAGACAGCATTCACAGCTGCTCTGGGCGCAAGCAATGGGACTGTGGCGCTGAACAGCGTACTGGCAAATAACCCGCAGTTCACGGAGAGTACAACGAGACTTGAGGTTGGTTTTGTCCGTTGAAGAGTTCTGGGAGGCCATTCCGCTAATCGATGTGCCGACAAATTAGGTCTATGATGCTGTTACAAAGGAGCTTGCCAAGAACGAGATTTATATCAATCTTGACAACCATATGTCCAACGGCAAATGGTGCTGTTCTGGCACCGACGGCAATACCTGGTGGGGAGACACATATTTTGATGCAGACAACTGGGTTCGAGGGCTTTCGTACATGGCTAATCATGTTAGTACCATCTATTGCACCCAGCAGAAATGGAATGTACCATGTCCCTTTTGCACTAACACACCTTCTAGGGGCTGTCTTGGAGCAACTTGGCATCCATGTCCCTTCGCAACGAATTCCGCCAGCCAACAAATAATGAGGCTGTCAAGGCCACATACAACTGGGAGACTTGGTACAAATATATCCGTGAAGGCGCAGCCGCCGTTCATGCAGCTAACCCAGACGTACTGGTCATCCTTTCTGGTCTGAACTATGACACCACCATGCAGCCTGTTGTCAGGGGACAAGCTCTCTCCCCGGGAACTGCCACGTTTAGCTTTGATGACTTTGCCGGGTTCGAGAACAAGCTGGTCATTGAGCTTCACAACTACGACAGAAGTGCATCATCTTGCTCTGCTCTCCAAGGCTCCCTGTATAACGGCGGAGCGCAGGCCATGAACCCTGACGAGGCAAGCACCGTGAATGTCTTCCCGGTCTTGGTGACTGAGTTTGGGTTCCCACAGGACGGGAGCTCTTGGCAAACTGTCTATGTGACGTGCCTGGCCGAATGGATGCCCAACAACACGGCCGGGTGGTTTCAGTGGGTTGTGGTCGGCAGTTATATGATCCGATCAGGCGTGCAGGACTATGACGAATCCTGGGGACTGTACAACCATGACTGGTCGGCGTGGAGGGATAGTGCGTACATCAACAACGTGCTTATCCCATCTGTGGAAGCAACGGTTGGAGGTGCGTAGTGGGTGTATGTACTTGAGTGCTGTTCCTACAAAGCACCTGGTAGCTAGGTACCTAGTGATAGATGAATATCACGGTGTGCTGGCACCCCCTGTTGGTAGTTCTGAGCAGCTGCTCTCACATTCTGTCCAATAAATGAATCATTTATGAAGAGCAATGTAGTTGGGAGGTGACAAGTCAGGTCACGGCCCAGCCATTCACATTCTTGGTGCTCGTTTGGGGCCTGCATGATGTGCCCCACACCGATAAGATTAGAGGTTCCGAATTTTGGGCTTTTAGTTGCAGATCCCTGCGAACCCGTTGGCAAGGCCTGGCGATTGCAAGAAGGCAGGCAAGATCAGGCGCCGTGCCGCAATCAAACAATCATCACTCTAGTAAGGCTGAGCTTCCAGCTTGATTTCCATCTCGAGTGGCCATCTCATTGTTTGGCCTGCGACGATCGATCGATACCGGCGCAGCATCGCGACTTGGCTGTGGTGCCCTCGCGTCGACTGGAGGAGTTGGGTTGCTCTCGGACTGGTGCTGAAATTCTTCTCTTCGATATGACGACAGTGCAACATACGAAAACTATCTTGTTACCATACTGAAAAGCCGCCGAGCCGAGTCCACCTTGTTTTCCTGCGGCATCTTTCGTCAATCGCACCCGAAGCTATATCTCGACGCGCACGATGGCCATCTGCAAGTTCTTCTTGCAAGGCACCTGCAAGTTTGGAAGTGGGTAATATGATTTCTTGCTCCGCGCTGCATCCGTGCGAGCATCCAGCCAGGAGCGACAGACAGACTGATTGGGATTGATAACAGATAGCTGTCGTTTCGAACATCCCAGTGGTGGAAACAGGAACCAGAGCTCCAATCGCTTCGGCGGAGGAGGCAATGTCGGCGGAAACCAAAATGCGCTTGGTAAGGAGCAACCCATCTGTGCCTCACATCACCCAAAGCACGACTAGCAAAAGTCAAGGCAAGAACTAATGAGTGACTTTGCTCTAGACAAGTACAAGATTTCGGTAGAGACGATAGAAGCGGATCTAACGACTGAAACACCACAATGGATCCTATCCGCCTACGCGCCCGGCAAAGACCCCCCCGAGCAATTGTTTGGTGGTTTCCCACGGGAGCAGAGCTTCGAGGAGATGAGGTTTCATTTCTACCAAGCTCGCGCTGCCGGCAATGAGCAGCAGGCTGTACGTGGTTGTGACCCCTTTCGTGATCTAAGCGTGAACTAATTTGGACCTCGAACAGCTCAGCCAAGCTCAGGAGCTATATCAAACCGCCCAACAACAGAATCAAAATGCTGTTCGCAACATTCGTGATGCAATGAACTTCATCGTTCAAGGAGAAAACCGACATCCAAACCGGCACGACCTCTGTAACCAGGGTACTCAGGGTCAGCCGTTTGGCGAGTTCCTTGTGGGCAAGAGACCCAAGACTACCATTGCTGGAGCCGCTCCGGCCAATCCATTCTCATCCAACAACAATTCGAGCACGCCATCTGCCTTTGGTGGAGGAGCAGCTGCCGGCTCAAGCGCATTCGGTCAGCCTTCTACCCTTGGCCAACGACCAAGTGCTTTCGGTGCACCCGCCTTTGGGCAGCCTTCTCAACCAACGTCAACTTTCGGACAGTCTTCGCAACCTAATTCTGGTGGCTCGGCGTTTGGACAACCGTCTCAACCCAGCTCAGCTTTTGGACAACCATCACAACCATCTCAGCCATCATCAGCATTCGGACAGCCATCTCAACCCGCGTCCGCGTTTGGGCAGCCCTCAGCTCTTGGGGCAAAGCCTAGTCCTTTCGGAGCCCCATCTTTTGGTCAATCATCGCAACCAAACGCGCAGGGCAATGCCTTTGGTCAGCCCAGCCAGCTCGGTCAGAAGCCGAACCCTTTTGGTACTGCCCAACCCAGCGCCTTTGGAAGTAACACCAACAACGCCCCGGCTGCCAATCCCTTTGGTGGAGGAGGATCGAGCCAAAGCAATACCGCAACTAGTGCGTTTGGAGGAGGATCGAGCCAAAGCACCACCGCAACTAGTGCGTTTGGAGGCGGATCGAGCCAAAGCACCACCGCAACTAATGCATTTGGAGGTGGTGGGAACAACCAGGCACAGGGCAACCCCAGCCCTTTCGGGCAGCCATCTCAGAACAATACTCAGGGCAGTGCTTTCGGTCAGCCAAGTACTCTTGGCCAGAAGCCAAACCCGTTCGCAGCCGCACAACCACCTGCTCAAGATGGAAACTCCCCATTTGGTGCCAAGCCAGCAGCGCCCTCGGGATTTAACCAGAAACCCCAAGAAAACAACCCATTTGCCCAGCCCGCCAATGCTGGAGCAGCCCCCGCAAATCCATTTGGAACAAACCAGCCGCAGCAGAAGGTTGAGACTGGTCCCCAGGCCAACCCCTATCCATCTGATAGTACCAGACAACACCCGCCTCTCGAGAGCTACGCGTCTAAGGGTATGGATGGTAGGTTGACCATGTTCAAAGGTAAGCCAGTCACCTACAAGGACAGTTTGCCGGGGATTAGGCTATTTGATGGAACATGGCAGCGAATTTGGTTTCCCAATGGTCCACCAAGCTTTTACAAGGATACTGCAATGCCTTTGGAGAAGTACGATGATAAGACAAAGGCACAATGGGCCGCGTTTGCGGAGAGCGGCAACTTTGCTGATGGAGCCATGCCTGCGCTCCCGCCACCACGGGATTGCACGCTGTGGAACTTTTGAAATACACCGGACGTTGGAATTGCATCACAAAGCGTTGGCTATCATGGGTGGTTGACATGCTCCATCTACTAGGGCATGCGCTGGCGTTTACATTTGTCGTTTGTTTCTCTCTTGTAGATATATAATCTTGGGAAAGATTGGCGCCGTGGGAATGGGTAGGCACTGCATATTATGTATAAACCTCCATAAGTGCCTTTTCCAATGTTTGCAAAGCACTTGAGCGCAACACATGTTCACACAGCACTCGATATTCGCGACCAAGCATATAGTTGGGATCAATGTTCTTTTTATTTTTGTCTAACCGAGCCTGGTATCCGTGGCTCGGACCAGCCAATCGTTCCCGCTTGAGGCCACGCGCTTAAGCAGCGATTGTGACCTCGACCTCGACACCAGCATCGATGTTGACAATGATCTGCTTGACAACCTCGGTGGGGGCAGTAAGGCTAAGAAGACATCCTCGGTCAGTTTCACATTTCAAAAAGTCCAATTGCGAGCCGGGCCTGAACGGCGCCGGAGGAGGAGCTTCACGTACTCGATGAGACGCTTGTGGATGCGCATCTCGTAGCTGTCCCAGGTCTTGGAACCCTCACCGCAAGGAGTCTTACGGGTGGTGATCTTGAGGTTTCTGGTGGGCAGGCGGACGGGGCCCTTGAAGCGGAGGTCCTTGTTCTTGGCACGCTCGATGATCTCGGTGCAGACCTTCTCGAGGACCTGGACCTTGCGGGAGGACAGGGTGATACGGATCTTGTGGCTCTTCTGCAGGATTGGGAAAAAGAATGGCGCGCGTTAGCTGTTGGCCTTGAGGATTCAAAGGGGACGGGATTGGCGGTGGTTATTCATACAGGAGCGTCACCGTGGTCCTTCTCGGGCTTTTGGTAGGAAGACATTTTGATTTATGTTTTTTTGATGAGGTGCTCTTCACGACTCGAACGTTTCGTTACGGCAAAGTGATGAAGGCGGTTGGGGAATATCGTAGAGGAAAGAAGTTTCAGGTCGTCGCGAACATTTTGGTGGGGGTTTGGCAAAATCGCAATTTGTGTGCGCAAACCAGGTCGCCCTAAACCAGGAAGGGAATGGTCGTATGTGAGTTTAGTGCAGGCATCTCTCATTGGCTAAAGCGGGTCCACCCGCTTCTGGCTGTCATTGTGAATCATACCGGGTGGGTACGTACCTCTAGGCGATCTGGAAGGCATCAGCCGGAGCAGGTGCGAGCGAGCTACAATTCAAAAGATGACATTTGCCCGCTGGGGACCATTGGTTTATTTCTAATTCTCATATTTCACACCTTTCCTTTGGTTTCTGATTCAGCGTTACGATAATGTCCAAGTTCCCGCCATTCGCGCCGTTCCCAAGAGCATCCTGGAGGCAGCATCTCGCACCCCAGGACTGGAACTCGCTTCTGGAGGCCTGGCTCACCTTATGCCAGGCCAGCTTAAGTCTCTCTGATGATCAATTGAGAGCAAATATCAAGGCCGATGATTCGGTCATTCTGTTTTTGGATTCATTCATGGAGCAGACCGCGGAGGATGGCTTGGATTCATTGGGCTCTCACTCTACTCAGCTTCTGAGAGTTATATTCCAGCTTACTAGCCGCCTTCTTGCGGTTTCAGCTTCAACAACGGATGCAAGACTATTCGAATTTTCGTTTCTTTCTAACTTTGCAAGGGTTTATCCAAAGAAGCTTGCCGCGCCAGTATTTACATCATTATTCAGCAAGCATGGAACAGTTGCCGAAGCATCTCTTACCTCACTCAAGAAACTCCTCATTCCTCACCTAGAATCGGGAATCAAAGGGGATCTGAAGCTTGTACATTCCAAGCTCACACGATTAAACTACCTGCTGCATGCTTCTCCAGATGCATGTGCTCTACTTCTTGCCGGATCCGATTTCTTCGATGGGCTGGTTACATGCTTCCGCGTAATGAACCCGCCGTTGAGGAAGACGATCATTACTACAGTGTATGTCTGTCTCATAGGGCTCACAGAGAATGAGCCGCCGAAGTGGTCTATGCTGGGTGACCAGCTCTACGCTCTCAAGTCTGCTGCGGACTCTCACAAACAGGGACCACTGAATGCCAATGATTCCCTGGTCCCCGAACTTGTTACTGCCACCCCTGTGCTCAAGGTCCTGTCACGGAGAGCTGAATCATCTGGGTCCGCCACACAACTGCTCAAGAACCGGATTAAAGCACTCATGGAGTTCAAGAAGGGTCCAATGGTCCGGCCAAAGGGCCACGGACGAAGGAAACTCGACAAGGGCAAGGGCAAGCAAACACAGGAGGATGCACAGGCAGAGATCCACGTGCATAAAATGAGCCAGATTACACAAATACAGGATCTGTTCCCTGATCTGGGAGCTGGTTTCATCGCAAAATGTCTTGACGAGTATAACGAGGACGTGGAGTTGGTTGTGGCGAACCTATTAAGCGAATCACTACCGCCTCATCTTGCAACTGCGGACCGCAGCGAGCCATTGTACGTTCACGAGATTTTCATGTTTTCCATTAAATGCCCACATATATATGTATATATATCGCTAACAAACCATTAGATCATCGCAAACACCACATTCCAAGCACTCTGGGATTCCCGCCCAGCAGACAGTGCCATCACAACTCCCGACTAGGAAAAACGTTTTTGACGACGACGATTTTGATCGTCTCGTCGCAGATACATCTAAAATATCATTTGGAAAGAAACCAGGAAAAACCGCCGATGAGATTCTCGCCGACCGTTCGAGTGCTCCTGGTAAAGCAGCCATCCTTTCTGCCCTCGCAGCGTTGGATCCGGATGATGATGAGCGCGACGACACTTATGACGCCGATGATGTTGGTGGTACTGTCGACTCTGCAAACCAGGAGGCCGATACTGGCGATGATAAAAATGAAGAGGTTCTTTTCCGTGCTTGGCAACTGGATTCAAAGGTATTTGACCGAGATGCCGCGACTCGTCGAAGCAACCCACGCACCAAGTTAAGAGAGCAAACCGGAATGGCGGATGAGGCTTTGGAGGGATGGGCACTTATGCTCACCAGAAGCCCACTACAAAGACGTCGGCTAGAACTCAAGTATGAGTTCAGCGGCCAACAGGTACAACTCGACCGAACGTCCTGGAGAGCCAGTCCAGCTGGCTCTGGGACGGAGGATAATGATTCAGATCGGGGTGCATCCAGGGGTGGAAGAGGAGGCCGTGGCCGTGGCAGGGGGTCCGGTGGTCCAGGGCGAGGGCGCGGAGGAGGAAACGTGGCTGGTCCTACTGGTGAGAAGGAGACGGAGGCGGCCAGGCGGCGGAAGGAAGCGAACAAAGGATCAAGGGCGAATCACAATCGCCGAGATGCTCGGGCCAAGAAGATGTCGCGAGGTGGTTTCGCTGGTTGAGAAAATGGTCTACTCAAGATGTCTTCTGCTTCTTAGTTCCACCTGAGCACAAAGCTTGCCATGCAACAGGAGCCATGGAATCGAGGGCCCTCTTCTTCGGATGTCCAAGGGAGGTAGGTACGGGTTTTGCGTCCTCGTCGGCAGTGTCCAGTTCCAGGGTCCGGGCATAGGGGCTACTTACATCGAAGCCTTCGCTAATAGCTACGTGCTGGCCTGGCGAGAGAAACCCGAGAAATGCCTCGTCTGGGCCTAGACCACGCGAGTAGTCTCGCGGCGTATCTAGCTCTGAAACAGCCTCAATCGATGTGACATCGTGATCAGCGTCACCACTTATCATCATACTCGCAAGTGATACTCTTGAGCTTCTCCGGCTGTCCAGGTAGGTGCGGAGGTCGTAGCACTGCCGACAGGTGGGCAGCATGGCTAACCTATCAGCTTCATCTCGGTACTGGGGCAGTTGAGGCCGTTTCTCCTGCCCACACTTCTCCTGGATATCGTCAAAGATATCAGCGACAGGGGTGAAGAATGTAATTCGCTGTCCAGCTCCAAAATACTTGTTCCTCCCCCAAATTTGACCTACAAGGGCATGAGACTCGGAGTCGACCACAGCGGCACCGCTGTCACCTTCGACGCCGATGCCTCCCCGTATCCAGGCCTCTTCATCATTGCAGGGCCATGGCTCTTCTATAAACCACTCTCTGGTGGCTTTCTCCGTCCCGTTCTCCTCGCCACTAATATAAGCAGGGATTTCGCAGATCTGGCCACGCTGAAAGCCCGAGGTCCGTCCACTTGACAGCACTGAGGCTCCAGGGCTAACAGCAGAAGTCAGCTTGACCAGTGCCTCCTTTGTAGTAGGGTGCGTCTCTGAAGGGAACCGCCTCAGCATGTTGGCGCGCGACGAATGGGAAGATACGAGGGCCCAGTCGGTCACGACAAGTGGCGATTCCTTGCCGCAATCCTCCCAATAGGGGTCATGGGAAATCCTGGTTGTCTGGAGATTGAGGCCTGATGTGACAACAAGATCTCCGATATGGAAGTCGGTGTGGGGGGAAATGGCATCATGGGCATTCTCTATGCAACTAGCCCGGTCACGAGGTGATGGGTGCTCGACCTTGACCACATTGGTGGTCCCGTAAGCTTCGAGGAATGGATGGAAGTTGCACAGCCAGAAGGTCCCTCCGTCCACATCCAGGCATGGCCCCAGAGTCGCTGTGCTCTCTGTGTGGGATTCGTTGCCAGCAATGCCCACGCTGTCTCCCATGCAGGGAACACGGAAACAGTATGGGTTTCGAGCCATGCAGATGTCGTCAGGGTGTTCCTTACTTAGGCCTCTAGCCCAGGCGGAATGAGTGCGGCATACTTTGCCGGTGGGGAAGGTAAATGATACGTTGGGGCGATGGTTTTCTGGGAGGAGATCCCTCACATGCCGAGCGATGATGACCTTTCTGGTAAAGGACATCTCTTTCTCGGTCATGATGCTTATCCGTCTACTTTCGCGCGTCTTTCCTCTACAAACGCTGATGACATGACGAGGACCAGCCCACACCGGGACGAACTCGACCAGGAATGGAAGGATGGCGTGCTCAAATACAATTGGGAAGCTAGCCGTGTCAACAAGGCTCGATACTCGGTTGCGTACGAAATCAGACGGGCTCGAGGCTGGTGGAGATTGACCTGCGATGATGTTAGGAAACCTTGGTGCGTGGAAAACGATGATGAGACAGAAGTGTGTATTTCACTTACCCATCTTTCTCTTGACCTTCTTCTCAACCACGCTTCTGAGTTGTTCCTGGCATTTTCGTTTCGATCTTGCGATGGCTGATAGCTGTTGTGTCATAATATCGCCTCCTTGTCGAGCTGGTGCCGATGTTGGCTGTGCTGGCTTTGGAGGCAGAGCGAAGTGGTTGCGCTGAGGAGGAATTTGTATCTGTTGCTGTTGCTTCCGCTGTTGCTCTTCTTGCTGCTTCTTCTTGTCAGGTTGAGCCACCAGCTGCCAGTCCTTAACGTCCTCTATCCCCTGGTCAGGATGAACGACGGAGAGATGGGCACTCAGTAATCTGGTGCTGCCAAAGTCCTTTTCGGTACACCCAGGAGCAGGACAGATCAAGAGGTGCTCGGCCTGGACATGCCAAACGAGCTTGGTGCGGGTTGTAAAGCTGGCGCTGTCGCAGCCAGCCCAGTTACATACGTGTGGGCTTGGGTCACCCAATGCCCTTCTCAGGGGGCTGGGGTTGCGGGAGCGGGAGCGGACGGTCCTTGTGTCGCTCGCGTCTGTCTGGACGGGGGAGAGTGACGAGCCGGTCGACTCGAGGGACGACGCTCGGGTTGAGGAGCTTACAGTGCTACTGGGCCTGTGAGGGTTGAGACCAACACCGGCGAGCCAGTGAGCTGAGGGGAATGGGGGCAGACCAGCCGGTAACTCGGGCTGGACGATGACACCATCTGGAGCGGCATACTGAGGAAACCAGTGGTCTCCTTCGGTAGTGGCCCAGGCGTGGTTGTGGTGGTAGTCATCTTGATTGGGGAAGCCGATTTGGGGGCCAGCGGGGAATGAAGGCAGCTTTTCTTTGTAGAATGGGGCGAACGAGGCGTCCACTTCTTCCAACACACCGGGACGACGGAAAGTGAGTCCAGTTTCCACAGTTGGTGTTGGCGAAGGGAGGTGGTGGTGCTGCTGCCTCCTCCAGCGACCTTGGCGGGTCGACGGACCCATCACAGCAGCTGCTCGGTGAAGATGAATATGCAAGGTCCCGGCGTCAGCATCCGGCGGGGGCGATCACGGACCAAGTAGCAAAAGGGAAAGGGTCAATTTGGGGAGAAAAGTGCAGTATTTATATTGAATCACGCGCAAGAGCTCGAGAACGAGGAAGAGGGATTAAGATTGCTTGGCCGTAGGACTCGAATGACGAGTCCATGGGGGCCGAAACCCGAAAGAAAGCCCTATCGGACAGACTCGATGTGATGTGACGGGTGTGGCTGTGGAGTCCTTACACAGAGTAGGCAGACTTCCAGACTGACAGGGGTTTGTTTTGGACGCCTTGCGACTATCTGTCAGCAGCCCAAAGACCTTTCTCTCTTGGATGTGGTTCGCATTTGATAATCATTGAGTCCCGGGGAGCTGGCGTCGGGTTTCGAGGGAATCATTTGTAAGATTTCTTGAAAATCATATACATATATCTATATAATTACAAAGCATGTAAGACTAACGCCTGACCCGGCTGTTTGGACTATAACTCCTTCGATAACGCCTCTGCAACATCCGCCAGCATTCTCAGCTTGTAGAACTTGGCGACCTTGCGAATCACTCCCAGCTTCTTGCTCACCTCCTCTCTTGAAACCACGCACTGCCACTCTCCACTGCACGTGCAATGCTCCATAAAGTCGTTCACCCTCAATGCGCCGCACCTCTGGCACTTGAGGTCCTGCGTGGCCCATTCCACGGCCCAGCTCTCCACCATGGTCAGCAGTCGCTCCTCGATCGCAACCTTGTCGAACTCGTTCCCACAGAATCCGCAGCGCCAGGCCTGCTGGCCGCCCTCCCCGAATAGTTCCTCGTCGCGGCACAGGTCCAGGTCTCGCGCCATTGTACAGCTATCGCACGATACCTGGTACAGCTTCAGGCTCTCCGACGGGTTGGTGAAAGTACCCTCCTTAGAGAACTCACGGACCTCGAAGAGGGCGAGAAGCTCCTTGCGCAGCAGACGCGCCTCCATTGTGATGTTCTTGTCCAGGGATAGAACTTGCATAAGAGACTTGACCAGCTCCAGGATAGGATCGCGAGGGTGGAGGTGTGAACCAGGGAGACTGGGGAAACTGTAATCCTCTGCCAGTTCCGGGTGGAGGAGCTCTCGCTTCTGCTGGTTGACGAGCCCCTGTATAGCCTTCTTGAGCGGCTTCTCGAATGTCTTGCCAGATATTATCTGACCCTCCATACTTTCGAGGTGGTCACTGGGGAGTTGGGTGAGTCGGGGTGTCGAATCGGCGAGGTCGTTCTGTGGCCGCTTGAGCCCGTGCATGAGCTGGATGAACTCCACAACCCACTCCTGGAACGTCGGCTGCAGGCGCTTGGGGAGGAATGTCGCCATTTGCCAGTTCATGATCGTCTCCAGGTTCTGCTCCTCCGCCTCGCTGACCTCCTGGCAGGCTCGCCCGCCATAGTTGAACTCATCATACCAGACCATGTAGTCCCAGTACTCCTTGATCTCAAGGTCAATAAAGTGGAATAGGGGTTTCGACTTGATGGACTTGATGATGTATTGACTGTAGGCGTAGGCGTTGGCCACCTCTCCCTTGGTGGTCTGGAGAATGAGTCTGTTGGCATTGGCGAAGACAACCTGGGACCCCACGCGGCGGAAATCTGCCATCAGCTGCTGGAATGCCTTGCGCGACATCATCTGCATGTAGTAGTGCAGAGCTCGGTCGTACATGAACGAATCGGGATTTTCCACCCAGCGTACTAGATGTTGCACCAAGACGTCGGCCATGGTGCTGCCGCGACATGCCTCGGTCCACCACGCCTTGACCATCTCTCGGAGCACAACCACACCGGCGTTGGCAAAGGCGCTCTCGGAAGCCAGTACCTCAGACCCGTCGGCTGTGGGGTTGAATGAGATGGCTTCGGCCCCTTCCAGCTCATTGATCAGAGACGAAGTCAAGATGGTATTGATGGCCAGATTGCGAACCTCCAAATCAATACACACAGATGAGTAAGTTCCCGGGTTATTGACATTGGGTAATTTCACCGTGTCCAGGGGACCCAACAAATCATCTTGCTCGTATCCTGCGTGATCTGGTCGAGGTCCTGGAGACCACCAGAGAACCACGCCGTTGGCTTGCAGACGACGAGCATATGCGACATCGATCAGGAATCGCGGGTCCTCTCGCTCAAGATTACAGAGAGGGACCTCTCCGTATCTTGCAAGTGTTGTGAGATGCAGGATCCAGGATCCCAATCCAAGATAGTGTCCAACTAGGCGTCGAGCAACTACAGACTGCCAGCCAAGAGGTGGCAGCGAGCTATCCGCAGCGTCATACTTGAGGGGGAGTACTGGAAACTCGCCCAGGATTGGAATATCATGGACAAGAAGATTGCTCTGGGAAGACTGGACAACCAACATCTGGGGTCTGGCCTCGTCTTTCCGCATCTTCTTGACCACATCGCTAATCTCCAAGTGTGCCTTGCGCCTTGTCGTCACCTGGGCTATCTTAAACTTGACCGAGTCCTGGTATTTGAAGCAGTCTTGCCAGTTGGTTCCTGCGGCCTCCTCTTTTCTCTTTGCTAGCATTTCAGAGTATATTCTCGTGACATTTGGCAGGTCGTGGCCCGAATCCCTACTCTTCTGCAGTATCACGATATGTGCTTGGTCACCTGTCGTCGAGAATATACCAAAAATCTGTCGGTCTCCAGCGGTAATATGCGAGATGTAAATGTATACCAGGGGTGATGAATCCAGGTAGACGCGGGACTTTGCCGGGCGCTTCAAACCAGCCAAGTCAAACCCTTGATCTAAGCCCTTACCAAGTACAGCATGCTGCTGCTCATCGATGGTACATAGGTTACCGAGTCGAAGGACGGCCCGCATATTAAGAGGGAGCTGTCGCTCATATACACCCTCGACACTCGGATGGTTAAACAATAGAGAGAATTTCTCCGATTCGTTGAAATAAATATCCTCCGGGACGGTGAGCTTGAAAAGGTGTTTTGACGGATGGCCATTGGGTAGCGTATGATTGACTTGTTCCACCTCACACCCATCAATCTCTACATCGGGGAGCTTGTCACTCTTGAGGTTGAGGAACACTTGCCGAGGAACTTTGATCTTAAGTATGTGAACCTTGGCATCGATCAAAACATGTGCTGTGACGATTCCGGGTGTATCGGTTGGCTTCAGATGCAGTAGCTGCCATGTATTCATGTATGTGACGTGGGCTTGTTTCATGAAAGTTTGCTGAATGTTGCCGCCAACGATACCTCTGCGATCGCCAAAAAGCTGCCGTCTTCTTGCACGGGCCAGCTTCTGAATCCTCCATTTTTGTTTCTGGTAGTCCAGGAACGCAGGATAGTCTTCAGAAGGGCTTGGCATAACCTTGGGCAGAGCGGCCATGGGATCTTTATTTTCAGCAGGCTCAGGGGACTTGCGCTTCTGAGCTGTTGGCGCCGGCTGGGAGGATGCAACGGCTGTGTTCACGGGCTTGGGCTTCAAGAGCTTGCTACCGTAGTCTTCCATATCGTCCATTCGGGAACCATTGATGTTGGTAATATCTCCCAAAGGCTCTTTGGCAAACAGATCTGTCAATTTCTTCTGCTTCATCTTGTCATCTTTAATATTGATCCTCCTCTGCAACCAGTCAGGGTGAGGAACTCGAGGCACAGGATTGCGAACCTTTTGCAAGGCTGCAGGAATCGTAATGAGCTTCTGGATAACGGATCCCAAACGCTCTAGATAGTAATTCCAGTCGAGTAGTGCACGCGGATCAGTATCAGCTGGTTCCTCTTTGAGCCACTTCTTCAAGTAGGTTCTCTTCACAGTCTCATCTGCGGAGAAAATGGCAACCGGAACAGCTCTTTCTGTGACGGGAGCATTTCGAGGGCGAGCGCAGATAATAAACTTGCAATTCAAACCCTTGTCCTTTACCATCTGCTCACCCAAAAAGTCCGCCAAGCGTCGAGCGGTCGTGATACTTGTTGACTTCTGTGTGCCGTATTCTTCCAGTGTCTTGGACATGCTTCGATTTTCAGAAATCAGCTCCATGAGCTCTTCATCTGCCAGAGTCGATCCTTTGCTATGTAGCACATCCAGCCACTGATTTGCAACTTTGGCAACAGCAGTGTAACACTGTTCGAGATTCGTGCCTTCCAAGAAGAACTTGAAGATCTGCTGCTGGAAGATTTTAATGAGCTTCAGCTCACCACGGCGCTTTACTTCGAAACCTTTGAGCTCAGCAAGACTCCCATCATCGTTGAAAACCGCATAACGTTTCTTCAAGTTCTTGTCCTCCTCCTTCGAAGTTGGGAGAATCATGGCTTTGTAGGGACCGTCAACCTCGAAGAAGATGGAGTTATCACTATGCGTCTCATATTTGTGTTTCTTATCATCAACCAGTGTCTGGTATTGATGATTCGTGAAGCGACCATGAACCAAGTGGTTCAACATTACACAGGGATAGGAAATGTTCAGCTTCTTTCCATTCTTCATCTTGAAAGAGAAGTTTTCGGGGAATGTGGCTGGAAGCATGCACCAGATACCATCAGTATCGAGCTCAAGTGGACGACCAAGGCGTTCAACCAGTTGACGTGCCATCTGAATGATATGAGCTCCCGTTAAACAAGTGACACCAGCCATTTCAAGAGAGTACCATCGAGAGCCCTTTCTCATGACATAGCCGTAGAACGAGTTTAGAATGACCTTATGTGCCAATTGTAGAGAATCATACAAGATGATCATCTTTTTAGCAGCTTCCACTTCGCTGGCGGCAGCACCGGAAGATTTTAGACTATCGGTTTTGCCCTTCCAGACTTTGGTCTTGCCCTTATAGTCGTATCGTCGATCACGGAAATCTCGCACCGTATTGATATAAAATGGATTCTCTCTTTGGCAAATGATTGCCTCGCGAACAATGGTGGTTGAATCGTGGATCTTGTGATAGATCTTTTGTGAGTATAGTTGCAGGCGTTTTCTGATCAGACCTGCTCGTTCGTCTGCTGGCAACTCTTGGAATGTCCTCGGTGGCGCATATGGCGTTTTCCCCGGGAACTTTTCGTTCTCAAGGGCATTCCGGATCATGTTGTATTCGTCTCTCTTGGCTGGAATATACTCTCCTCTCCACGACCAGGGCAGCCTTCGATCACACGTCTTGCCAGGGCGGTTGAAGTCGCAAGCAGCACAGTCTGACTCTTGGACCATAGAATCTGGCTGCAATCGGTTGGTCGTCATGATATTAGGGTACATAGATGCAACATCCAAATGATAAATTAACGGCCGTTCGTGTCGATTGGGGGTATTCTTCAGCTTTAACAAACGCGCAGCGATTTGCTCTCTGACCTCGTCGTAGTTCTCAACATCTTCGAGCTTCTTGTTTTCTTCCACGGTGACGACGAATTTCAAAGCATTATCTAAATCATTGAGAAGTTCATCAATTGCTGCTGGGTCTACAGAGAAGTCGACAGGAATATCAGCTCGGAAAACACCGGCTTCGATACTCTCGACGTGGCCACCCACGTATGTCTCTGAATCGAGCAAGTGTCCGTCCCAGAAGGCTTCCTTGGGAGCAATATGCTTGTTGGGTAGTACGATGCCTTTCTGGTAAGCCTGCACCATGAGAAGCATTTCGCAGAGGGTTCCGGTTCCTTTTCTCAGAACATCATCGCCACCTAGCGGTAAGATGGTACAAAGCGAGAAAATGAAAGGATGGACGTATTTCATATAGAGATAGTAGGTCGCAACAGCATCGGAAACGGAGTATTCTGCCAAGGTCTGAGGTCTCTCGGCAGCGTAAGGAGTCATGAGTTCTGGGTCAAGTTCGTCTGGATGGTAACCGAGCTTGGCCACAGTGACAGCTTTCAAGCCTCGGGAACCTTGGGGCAGATAAGAATCTCGATTTACCCAGTGAAAACAGTCCATGTGAACGCTGTAGTTGCATTTGAACTGGTCCTCGTTGTCCTTTTTCCAGCCAATTTCCTGGTATAGGTCGATCCCGTGCACGCTCGCTCGTGTTTCAACGAAGGGCCAATCGAAGAAGTCACCGTTATAAGTCGCAATAACCGTAGGCCTTGCTTCTTTGATATGCAAAAGGAACCTCTCGAGGACAGCCTTCTCATCGGGTTCGTTGAAAATCATAAACGGACCTGGGTATTCGGGCTTGGGTGTATAGTCGAAGTCACCAATATCTTCCGACACAATCTCACGATTTGTGATGAGGAAACCTTGACCATCGATCATGTATGAAATCATCATGACTTGGTCGGTTGCGGCATCGGGAAACTTCAACGGCATTTTGGTTGTCTCAATATCAAAAGCGAGAACCACTGGTTCCGCAGGCAGCGATCTGCCCTCATTAGGTGTGATCTTGGTAACGCCGTGCTTGGCTTCAACGAAGTACCAGCCACCGGCTCTGATATCTGAAGAAAGTTAGCAAGAAAGGAACCGTAATACCAGACTTTTTCACCGGACCTACCTAAATCGATCATTACTCGAACATGATATGGGACATCGTATTCTCGGATGTCAACAATAAAATCGCTTGCATCAATCGAATTATTCATTAATCTTTCGTCATCTCGTGAATCGTCAAAAAGGTCAAAGTTGCCGCTCGCTCTAGGCTTCTAGTTAGCACAGTATAGTATTCCAGGATTAGTAGGAGGGTTGACGTACGATACGACTTCCGCATATGCATCCATTGCGTTCATATTCTTCCTATTTTTCTCTGCGATCGGAAGGAGGTCCCTTCTTGCCCCCAGGAGGTCGGTGACATTGGAGAACCTCAGTTCCAGGAACGTTCGTTTGTAACCCATGAGGTGATTGGGCATGTCAAGATCATCCTTTTCAACTTTCTTGACCGACTTGACGACTCCACCGCCGGGGACTCTCTTTACCCATTCCTCGACTTCCGACTCGTGGCCCCTCTTTGTTGCAATGAGGAAATACGGTTCGTACTCGACAGTAGCCTTGAAATAGTTGCCGTCTTCTTCGAGGAAATAGCAGTCGAGGGCAGCTCGACCGGCTGGTATTCTTTCATCCTCGATAGACGTAGGCTGGACATTGACTAACCAACCCTCCTTCTTCTTGCCACTCTCGAAGCGCCCGAAGCCCATGTTCTGGTCGATACTATGAGCTTGTCTGGTGCGCTCCCATTTCTCGTCGGCCGAGGTCCCCTCCGCTCTTGAAGAGGCGGCAAATGTCCGTGATTTCCCATGGTATGCAAGCTTTCCTCCTCTCCTGAAGCCCTTCTGTGGGCGCCGCAGGTTGGTGTTGGGCATTGCGACGAAGGAACTATGCCGGCCCCGCCGCGCAGGAGAAATATCGAGTGTCGAAAGGAGAGAGATCTAATGAAAGTCTCTTGTCGTCATTGGGTGTTATTATTAAGATATTCGACTTATTCCGGTGATTTTGTCACCCTCAATGGCGTGGAGGCGTCGAAAGCGTGATGTGTTGGACTAGATCTATGAATTATTACTACAAACCCAGCAACAAAGGTCGAGTTGGCCAAACTAAGGAAGACATTTTGGGGTGAGACGCGTTTGGACGCGACACGGGACGCGACGTGATGCTCGCCAGCCCCACTATAGTTTAATGGATTTTTCCCCTTCAATCTTTCTGGTCAATGGTCATGCAAAAATTGGCTAGATGATTGGTCGCATAGTATGCACGTATTACGTAGTGGGTTTTTTAGTTTAGAAGGCGCGTGTGCATTTCAGATGAGCGTTGGCGCAATATCAAAGAGTTTGTATTGCTGGTGTCAGAGTTGGCCTTATCCCAAGCACAAGGAGCAATGATTCATTAACCTTAATACTTAGGGATTTAAATGAGGAAACATTTATGAGGGGACATTATGGTACAATATTAATAACACAGAAGAGTAAACGCCAATCGTTACCGGGCCCAAATGACAATCAAGGTGCCATTTTACTGTGTCTAGTTGTCTATTCTTCAGACATGTAAGCACATGAAGTCTTGCAGATGAAAATTCAACTCACTTTTTGGAGATAGTAATCTCACATCATTCTCTTTGTTGTCTTCACGAGCCTCGTCTAGCAACTTGTCGATACCTCGATCTTTGAGGGCCACCTGCGGATTGTTAACAAGAATCGACTCAGTGTAAGGCAGCTCTGGCCTAGATAACCCACCTTGAGGCACTTCTGGTACTCTGCAAACAAACCAGCGCATTCTTGACTATTTTTCTCTGCTCCACGCAAATACTCTAAGCACTCTGTCAGCATTTTGATATTGACCTAGGCGTCAATGGAAGACTTACTCTCGCTGTACCACTTCAAGAAGCAAGTGTCGTAACGTCTGGGCTATCAGTCAGAACCGGGCATGGCCTGCTCTCAAATAACCGATACTCACTCTTTGACATCGTTGCATTCCGGTGCTAGCGATGCAGACATTGTGGCGGCTTAAGAACTCAATAGATTAAAATCCGTCTGCTGGGTTCAAGTCGAAGGTTGCAGAATATATCTAGCGAGAAAGAATGGATCCTTGCTGATGTGGGTCGAGTCATCTGCCACAGAGAGTTACACTGATTTGCTAGCAACTGCATCTAGACCATCAGCTAGATCGGGAGGCCCGGAGTGCATACTGGCGAGTTTCGTTTTCATTATTGGCAGTGAAACCCTGGGATAACAATTCTGAAATTCCACTTGATTCTTTAATTGGGAAATGCTAACCAGTAGTAATAAATCAGGTGACAGGCCACCGACGTTCTCCAGTTACAACACTGTGTACTGCAGTTCCGAGTGCTAACTAGCGCTTCTGAATACTAGCCCACGAGGAAACCAAGATATGAAATTGTATGAAACTCACCATCTCCTCTGGCCACATATCGCCAATTATAGTACTAATCGGAGTAGGCAATTAACGACACAGTTGGTTCTGGTACTTTATGGAAAAAGGTACCATAAAAGTGGACATGATCTGGTCTCGACTCACCCGCTGGCCCATCTACTAACAGCTCCCCACATCCCCAGCTCTTAACGTCGCGTCTACCCTTGTACACGCGACAAGTCGTCACGATCTGCAGCAGCCGTCTGCTAATACACGTCTGCCGGGCGAGAAAGGCCCCCGGCCAATGATATCACCTCCGTTCGCTTATCTCATTGATCCGAATTCTTGTCTTTTCCCTTCTTCTTGCTCGTCTGGGGATTCGCGAGATGGCGCCTTCCGAAAAGGAGCTAGAAACTGCACTAATTGAGGCGACCTGCGCTGTCTACGAGGCTGAACCCGACGCGACCAGCGTCAACAAGGTTCGCAAACAAGCCGAAGACAAACTTGGCCTTGAGGATGGCTTTTTTGGGGATGGGGACTGGAAGACAAAGAGCAAAGAAATAATCAAGAAATATGTGGTAAGTCTCAGGTTGTCCGATTCCAAACAGGTCATGTAGTAACCAAAGAGCCGCAAACAGGACAAGCTGCTTGACGGTTGGTCCCCAGGACAGGATGGCGATAATAGCACAGGAGGAAAGAAGGGAGCGAAGCGTCAACCTGCCGAACCGAAGTCTCCAAAAGCCAAGCGACAGAAAACGACCAGCCAGCCGAAAAAGAAAGTAAACAAATCAGAGTCATCGTCAGAGCTTAGTGAACTAGACGAGGACGAGCTGGAGGAAGAACCAGCCCCGAAGAAGAAAAAGAAAGCTCAACCCCCCAAGAAGAAGGCAGTATCGCCAAAAGCACAAAAGAAGGAGAAACCAGGAAAGAAGGCCGCTTCTCGGAAAAAGGCTCCGCTATCGGACGATGAGGACGATGAATTGACTCCCGCCCCATCCACTTCAGAAGAGGTCGAGATCGATGTCGAGAAGGAGGAGCATCAATCAAAAGTCGAACCGGACGATGAGGCCAAGCCGCCAAAGGAGGAGAGTGCCCAACCTCCTGTCGATGAAGAGGAAGAGTACTCAGATGTCATTGACGAACCCCCGCCGCCAAAACGAAAGAAGGGTACCAAGAAAGAGCCTGCGGCCAAAACCGCCAAGCCCACCAAGTCAGCGACCAAGAAACCCACCGATGACGACCCGCAAGAGGCTGAGATCAAAAGGCTACAGGGCCAGCTTGTCAAGTGCGGCATTCGGAAGCTTTGGCATAATGAACTCAAGAGCTGTGGGGATGATTCTCGTGCTAAGATTCGCCATCTAAAAAAGATGCTCTCGGACATTGGAATGGACGGGCGGTTCTCGGAGGCAAAGGCACGCGAGATAAAGGAAAAGCGCGAACTCATGGATGAGCTTAAGGCTACTCAGGAAATGAACGCGTTATGGGGGAAGTCCTCGGAAGGACGAGCGAGCCGGAGCAAGGCCAAGGTTCAGAGCCTGAAGGTCGACAGTGATGGGAGTGAGAATGAACAAAACGATAAAGGGGAAGATGAGGAGGACGATGAGGGTGAAACGACATTCGCAGCCCGACGGAGGAGGGCACGAGCTGATCTGGCATTTTTAGATGAAGACAGTGACTCCGATTAGGAGAGGTTTCTTTTTTTTTGGAGTTGAGTTGGAGGAGAATTCTACAGCCTTGCCAATTATTGTTGCGGGGTTATGATGACAAGCATGTCATAGCATGTACAAAAGTGAACGATCAGTCAAAATAATGCATCAAATTTTCATTAATAAATGGTATCCAGCCCTGCCTGTATATCCGTAGAACGACCAAACCAGAATCATGCCGAGTGTCTCCTAATCCTTCCACGCCTTGTACACAATTCGAGTGCCGTATGTTTCACCCTCCTTCAAGAGCACCTGACTCTTCCACTCCGGTACGTTGGCGGCGTTGACCCATCGGCTGGGCTCACAACAGAAACCGGCACGGTGCCCCCTCGCAGGCAATCCATCAACAGCTGGAACGTCAATTCCGTGGCCAGTGTAGAACTGGAAGCCAGGTTCCGTACTGAGAACCTCGAGGTGGATGCCAGTTCCAGGGTGGTGCGCGGTGATATTAACCCTGAGGGGAGAGTTGCGAGTATCCACAGGTACAGACGAGGGGTCGGTATCAATTGTAAAGCAGTGGTCAACGTCAGGCCCAGTTGACGTAAGTAAGAAGGGCTTGCTGGTATCGAGGCCCGGGAAGGGTACTGGGCCACTGGTGGGGATGGCAATGTCGTCTATAGGAAGGTGTTGATTTGTGGCCAGCGTCACTGTGGTCCCCTCAAAGGTCTTCGCATCCACGCCGGCAGGGTTGAAGTAGGAATGGTTCGTCATGTTGATCACAGTCTCAGCGGCACCGCCAACCAGTTTGGCCTCATAATCTATGCCCAGAACAATGACATCCTTTCCCTCTGCATTGCGCTGGGTACCGGTAGTATAGGTGACCTTCACATCAAGGGCACCGGGGAAACCCTCGTCCCCGTCCTCACTCAAATAGGTGAACTCGACGGTCTCGCCTCCCTGAAGGCCTTCAACGCCGGGGATTTCGCGGAGGCCAACAGCCTTAGGACCATTCCAGACCTTCTTACCCCAGCCACTAGCACCACCATGAAGAGTGTTGCCCCGGTCATTGTTGAAGAGGGGGTAGGATTTACCACCATTCACAGATGCAACCTGGGCATTCGAAAGACGGTTGGCAAACCGGCCTATGGTTTCACCAAAATATGGGCCGTTATGCTGGACATACTGCTCAGATGTATCAAACCCCTGGACAATGTTAATGCCATTAACCTTGAACTTTTGAATGATAGCTCCCAGAGGGAGGAAAGTGAAACCCGAATCAGTCATGGTGAAACCTGGGTACTGTTGCTGAAGAGTGAGGGATTCTTGGACCAAAAGGCCAGACGAATAGCTTTCAAGCGGGATATTGGTAGGCAAGAGGCAAAACTAGGCCTTTGGCAAGGGCAGGGAGAGGGCAAGTGGCCATCTTAAATGCAGCACCCGTGTTCGTGTCATAGGTAACATACTGTGGGGTGAACCCTGATTTCAGCCTATTTACACCAGTAACATGCATCCGTACCAGTGAGGTAATAAGGGTTGGTCTGGTGTGGTTGTTCAATAAGCAGCCTATTCTAACGGATCTACGGGAACAAAACCCACCCGAATTATGGTGCTACAGGACTTATCCGGCCGCCGGGCCTACTGCGGTAGTTTTGGTCGCTTGCTTCGAGAACACATATCGACCAGGGTCCCTCACTTCAAAATACAGTTGTTGAATGTAATCTGGCCTTGTTGAATCCTTGCAGCCCTATGGACGCCGGTAGTTTCTCTTGCTACACTATGTCTTGCATAGAAAAGCTGCTGAATGAATTGCTGCTGGCTGGTCATTTAGCTGCTATTAGACTGGCTGCTAA